CATCCTCTCTTCTTGGACCTTCGTCACCGCCACTGTTTCCATTCCGTACATCATTGCTGGCCTCACCAACGTCTTATACAGTCTACCTTTTACTTTCTCTGGCACGTTCTTGTCACACATGAAACCTGTGATCTTCCAAGCTCCCCACCCTGCCTGGATCCTTTTGGTTACCTCCTTGTCTTAACCACCATCCTCTTGCACTATAGAACCCAGATACTTGAACTCCCTCACCTGTGCTATTGCCTCTCCTTGTAGCTTCACTTCAGTGTCCTCTTCGTTGTCACTGCCTTCCCCTTTAGCTTTCAGCTTCAGATATTCTGTCTTTTGCCTACTCACTTTCATACCTCTGTCCTCCATTGCACCCTGCCACATTTCCAGTCTCTCTTCAATTTCATCCCTCCTGTTCCCGCACACCACGACATCGTCCGCAAACCACATATCCCATGGTGCCTCCCTCTGCACTTCTTGGGTTCGACAGTCCTTTCCCTTTTTATTTTGATTGCCTACTGTACTTCCTCGCACCACCACCATGTTTCTTCTTTCTTTCCCTTCTTTCCCAATGTTACTGTCATAACCTCTAAACAGTTGTTCATACTTCTTCTTCTTCTTCTACGGGCTTAAATCCCACTTAAGTGGGGTCACCGGTGCGCATAGTTCTCCTCCACCTTGCTCTGTCCATGGCATCCTCCTCCCCCAGTCCCACCACCTCCATATCCCTTTTTACACAGTCCTTCCATCTTGTTTTTGGCCTTCCCCTCCTCCTTTTACCGACTGTTAACCGTCTCACTCGTCTCCCAACATAGCTCTCCTCTCTCCTTGTCACATGTCCCAGCCACCTCAATCTTGTCTCGCTCAGCTTCTTCAGCTCACCCACTTGCACTTGCTCCCTAATCGTCTTATTTCTCACCTTGTCCATTATTGTCAACCCCAACGACCACCTCAACATTTTCATCTCTGCTACCTGCATCCTCTCTTCTTGGACCTTCGTCACCGCCACTGTTTCCATTCCGTACATCATTGCTGGCCTCACCAACGTCTTATACAGTCTACCTTTTACTTTCTCTGGCACGTTCTTGTCACACATGAAACCTGTGATCTTCAAGCTCCCCACCCTGCCTGGATCCTTTTGGTTACCTCCTTGTCTTAACCACCATCCTCTTGCACTATAGAACCCAGATACTTGAACTCCCTCACCTGTGCTATTGCCTCTCCTTGTAGCTTCACTTCAGTGTCCCTCTTCGTTGTCACTGCCCTTCCCCTTTAGCTTTTCAGCTTCAGATATTCTGTCTTTTGCCTACTCACTTTCATACCTCTGTCCTCCATTGCAACCCTGCCACATTTCCAGTCTCTCTTCAATTTCATCCCTCCTGTTCCCGCACACCACGACATCGTCCGCAAACCACATATCCCATGGTGCCTTCCCTCTGCACTTCTTGGGTTAGACAGGTCCTTTCCCTTTTTATTTTGATTGCCTACTGTACTTCCTCGCACCACCACCATGTTTCTTCTTTCTTTCCCTTCTTTCCCAATGTTACTGTCATAACCTCTAAACAGTTGTTCATACTTATATAATTTAAAATATAAAAGATACTCTTAAATTATATTAGGAAGGTAATGTGTAAAATCCAAACATTTCATCTGTTATGACAAACTCCGGGTCAAATGTGAATTACTGCAAAAAGATTCATCTAAAAGATATGCGAGTATTTTTAAGCTCGTTCCAGTTTTTGCAACAGAAGAATCATTTGTAATTTTCCATAAATACGGGAAATGCTGCGCTCATTTTTTATTTTTGTGAAATGTCTCTACACATAGATGGCTATGCCTTAACTGATTTCACCTTTCCTTGAATTGGCGGGAAAATGTACTTCTTACTAGTGCTACGAATATCGAAGGTGTTATTTTTATTATAAGCATTATAATTACTATAATGTTATAAACATTAGTAATTGCAAAATAAGATACGTAAAATATTTTCATAAATCAAAGAAAAGGGTAAATGGGCGAGACAGGCAGTATTCATAATTGGCTCATAGGTGATTTAGTACAAGTGTAGCCATCTGTGGGTAAAAACAAGCAAACAAGTAAACTCGCCATGGGCATAGGATGTATGTATATGCCATGCCCATCGGGAAAGGGTTAAAATTTGGTCAGTATTATCAAAATTCCTGATGATAAGGATTCCTAATGATTTGCTACGCATCCAGTTCGTCCTTGCTACCATCAGAAATGATTACTTCCAACAAGCTTTTTGCGCTGAGCCATGTTCACATGATCAACTATTTAACCCATTACCACTGGGGGAAAATGAATTAAAAATGGGGAAGATGCTGTGATCAATTTTTTTTTTTTTTTTTGTAAAATGTCTGTACACATAGATGGCTCTGCTTTACCTGATTTCACCTTTGCTTGAATTGGTGGGAAAATGTTTTTTTTATTAGTGCTATGAATATCAATGGTGTTATTTTTATTATAAGCATTATAATTACTATGTTATAAACATTGGTTATAGCAAAATAAGGTAACGTAAAATATATTTGAAAATTAAAGGTAAGGGTGAACGGGCGAGACAGGCAGTATTCATAATTGGCTCATAGGTGATTTAGTACAAGTGTAGCCATCTGTGGGTAAAAACAGCAAACAAGTAACTCGCCATGGTCATAGGGATGTATGTATATGCCATGCCCATCGGAAAGGGTTAAAATTTGGTCAGTATTATCAAAATTCCTGGATGATAAGGATTCCTAATGATTGCTACGCATCCAGTTCGTCCTTGCTACCATCATAAATGATTACTTCCAACAAGCTTTTTGCGCTGAGCCATTTCACATGATCAACTATTAACCCATTACCACTGGTGAAAATGAATTAAAAATGGTGAAGATGCTGTGATCAATTTTTATTTTTTTTGTAAAATGTCTGTACACATAGATGGCTCTGCTTTACCTGATTTCACCTTTGCTTGAATTGGTGGGAAAATGTTTTTTTATTAGTGCTATGAATATCAATGGTGTTATTTTTATTATAAAACATTATATTACTATGTTATAAACATTGGTTATAGCAAAATAAGGTAACGTAAATATATTTGAAAATTAAAGGTAAGGGTGAACGGGCGAGACAGGCAGTACTCCGAATTGGCTCATTGGTGGCTTAGTACAAGTGTAGCCATCTATGTATAAAAACAATCAAATAAGTAACTTGCAGTGGGCATGGTATGACATGCCCGTCAGCAATGGTTAAGATCGGTAAATTGTCCCATAGTAGGGATATATGCACTTCTGTTTCAGAAGTAAAAAGTTTCAAGCACAGACGTTTTATGTTGTCTGTAGGTAGATAGCTTGTCTAGAGATTTTTTTTTTTTCTATCTTGGAATTTCAATTAAAACTTTAACATATGGTGCTATATGACCTCAAAGGGTCATATAGCACAACGGAAAATTATTGTAGCAATAAAGGTAAAATAAATTTGATTAGGACAAAGTATGTAAGATGTCAAAGGCTGTAAAGCATTATAGGGTAAAATATTACTTAAAAGGGTTATGAGGGGTAGCAAATGGAGTAAGGTGGGATTAGTAAAGGGAAAGGAAGTTAAAAGACAAAGGGCAGTTAGATCACGTGGATGATTTCAGTGTGCCTGAGGAAGGAAGAGGAACACTGCATGAGGAACATTACAAAAGTCATGAAGTAGTCGGCAGGTATAAGAATGGAAAAGACTTGGAGAAGTAAGAGAAGAACTTGGGGAAGGAGACAAAAGGAATGGGAAGGTGAAGTATCAGGAAGAACATTACAAGGGGAAGGATCCAGGAAGCGGATGGGATAATGGGAAAAGAAGGGGGGTGCAGGTGGTGTGTGTTGGAAGAGTAGTAGTAGGATGGATGTCGGCAGTTAGTTTTAATGTAGAGCGATTGAAACGTGGATGAGGGAGAGAATCGTTCTCATGTGTCATGTTCAATAAGATTGATTGTCCTCAAGATTTCCAAGAGGGAAGTCGGGTGAGAGATTTAAGAAACAAAGGTATTATGAGGAGGAGAGGAAGAAACAGATGCCCAAGGAGCAAAGAAAGAGATAGGTGTAGGAGAAAATATGGTAGGAGAAGATGGAATGGAACGTTTAGATTGCCTGGTACGACAGGTAAAGTGAGGAAGAGGGATAGGCATTGGGAAGTGGTAGAGATTAAATTATCTGGATTTAGAATGGCAAAGAATTTGACTAGGAAGAGGGGAAGAGATACTGGAAATGCTGAGACATTGGGAAGAAGAGAAGAGCGGGGTGAATGGCAGCATAGGTAAAGGTAGCGAGAGAAAATGCTCATCATCGTGGTTCCTGATTGGCCTCGCGTAGAGTCTGAATCTAAGAACTGGCCACCTCAGATTTGAACTTGTAGGCAGGGCAGCTCATATGAAATACATCATGGGAGTCACCAAGTGCGCCATTGTGTAGAGTAATTTGTGAATGGTCAAAACTAGGTAAGACACGTAGAGGGTAGCGGTCT